CAATGGTTCCCATACAAATGGAAATTGTTTTAACATACTACAATTTGCATTCATTTATGATAGCATTCATACCATATTCAATATACACGGTATCTAGTTATTGCATTATAATTGACAGCCTATTCATTACAACATCAATGGCAATTGTAATTATAGTATTATTTAAAGTTATTAATCATATAAATAATGGGATATTTCATATGGATATTAATAATGATGGACATAGTTTACAGACATTGTATAGTACCCAGAAGTTTATCACTCAACACAACCTATTGTGTCAAACCATAAAAATTTATAACATCTATTGGAGTCAAATATTATTTTGGGAGATATTCTGCGTTATACCAATCAGTTTGTTATGTTTACATCAGTTTTTGTTTGGCAATTTTTTAACCGGGGGTAAAATGCTGTTTCTGGTCACACTAATTCTTTGCTTTGCAGCTGTATTTGTGGTTAATTTCCTATTCGCATACTTGTCATACAAATTGCATTTATGTGCCAAACGTTTGCTGCAAATCCAATGGCGAACCAATGGATGGCTATTTCGGCTGAGATTTAAATTACAATTAATGACATATTTTGAGAGTTTATACAGCCGTAGCAAAATGGGTATCACTATCGGACCACTAGGTACACTTACTATACAAGTGTTTTATCAGGTATGATATTGTTTCAAATAAATATTTATTTATTTTTAAATATTTTTCTGTTTAAATTCCAGATAGTTATTAAATATTTAAGATATTTTCTGTTAATCCATAAACTTGGAAATAAAATTAACTTTTAATACAGTAATATATGGAAAACATAACTGACAATGCGTTAACTATAAATTTTCTTTCATATTGCAATCAAAACCGCTTGATCACTATAGTCATTTAGCATGGTAAAATAATAATGTCCAGGTCCGGTAAACTATGGGAATGTCTTAGGTGTTAAAATCGGTGGTTATATCGGTCGACGCGCCATAAAAACTCTATAATTTTTACTGTGAAAAATATTTATTCCTAATATTGTAACTTGATATAATAATTATAATGTTAAATAAAACTAATAATATTTCAAAGATATTTTGATTAATAACACGTTCGATGACTATCTATACATAAAACAATTTTCATAATAACCATTATATTTTTAAAATATTTTAAACATTATACGTAATGTAGTTATATGTGTATTGTATTCACTATATCTGTAGTTTTAAACAAATTATCGGATTATCGATGAGTTGTGAGTCGAAAGCTTTTTTCTATTGCTATAGAAGTTTATTAAAAAAGTTTTAAGTAAAATGTTTAAAAATTTAAGAACCGTCTCAAAATTGGTGACTATCTTGGTGATTACATTGATCACTATATTTTACAATATTGATATCAATCTTTTTAATCATTATAAACTTAATAGAATTATCGTCGATAAAATGAACCAAGGTTAGTACCACATTTAATTCATAATTAACAATTATAATACACTTTTATTTGTATATTAAAATGATTTTACTTTTATCACACAATCTAATATAATTATACAATCTAATTAGATAATACCTACAATACAAGCTAGTATTACAAGCTATGCTAAATAAATTTTAATTATAAAAAGTATATAATAAGTAGGTGAACCACAAATATGCATATAATTAATACAGTACTTAATATAATTAACTTTTGTATTACAGATTCTCAAAATAGTAATAAAAGTACAAAAAATATCAACAAATTCATAGACGATATGATTGACAGATTACAAAACCCTCCAAATTGTAGTTTAGCAAGCAAGTTTGTTTGCATACGAAATAGAAAAGGGGGTTTTGAGTATACCATGCACAACTATGCTTACTGCCTAATACTAGCCCTAGAACTGAACCGGACACTTATAATCCCGGAGACCTTCAGCAATCCGTACACTTTATACATGAATAGGCTTTTCCGACCCTTAAGTGACACATGTTTGGACCCACACGGAGACAACAGTACCATATGGACAGGGAGCACAAACCAGACACACGATTATTATCAAGTAATTAACTTTCATTTTAGATGGGAAATCTACTTAAAAGGATGTGATCAGGATATTAAAAATCTGATGCAAATCATAGGTGAATCGCAATCCATATCCATTGAACCCATGGCTTTATTCATTGGACACATAATGGGGTATTTAATGCGTCCGACACTAGAGTTGAGCCGATATTACGATAATTATAAGCAAAGGATTCAATGGAAACACCCTATCGTTGGCCTACATGTGCGACGGACTGACAAACTGCTAAAAGAGGCTAAATATTACCCAATCGATGAGTACATCAAATATGTGGACCGGTATTACGATAATCTGGACATGACTACTGGTAATAAAAGCCACAAAAGACTCGTGTATTTGGCGACCGATGAGCCAAACGTATGGCTCAACGAATTGAGTCCTTATATTGAGCGACAGATTGAGTTCATCGGAGATCAACGCATATCTAAATCTGTGGGTAAAGCAGAAGCTGAAAAAATCCGAAACTCTTATGAATCGATTCGTGACTTAATTGTCGAGGTTTTGGTGTTAAGTGAATGCGATTACATTGTCTGCACCTTCAGCTCAAATGTGTGTCGTTTGGTGTTTGAGTTACGGATAAGTCGTATTAACAATTCATTGGCCTTTCAGTCATTAGATTGTGGTTATTATTATCATCCTTGATATGTTTTTTCACTGTTTTCAATATATTGAAAAATAGCTTTTCATTATATTTATAATTGTAATTAAACGAATTTTAAATTGTCCACTATGTACCGGTAATTTGTTTTAAATGTTATTTACACAATTAAAAGTTATTATTGCACTAATTGCATATGTACCGATATTTAAGGAGTTAATAATTTAATCATGAAGTAAACACTTTATACTTTTACATAGTACATGAATACACTTTTCAATTCAAATGTATGTCAATTGGCGTTTGAGTTAATGATAAGTTGTCAAATCAAATATTTTTTGGTGCATTTGACTGAATAATTGAAAGTAATTATATGAATGAAAAGTACTAGGACTGTAATTTACTCGTAAACTAGATCATATAAAACTTACCCAAAAATATAGTTTTTTCAGTTTCTCATGGTTTTCCTTTTCTCGAAGACACAGATATGTTACTACAAAGGGCTGGTATGGGGACTGGTACCTGGTCTAGAATAATAAGTGACACGTGTTCCAAGAAATTACACAACTCATTTTTGTCAACAATTATAATCCTAAAAAAATATAATACTGTTAGTGTACATATACTTTATGTTCTTGATGATTATCATAATACAGTTCTTAAATAAATGCATTTATTAGTTTGATAGTGTTAGGTAACTATTATCAACAGCTAATATACTAGGATATTGATTATAACATAATTGAAGTGTTTTGATAATTTACAGCATTTTATTTCCTAGTTAACTACGGTATTCTAAGGTATATAACTCATACACTACTTGCGGTTGATTGTTGAGCAAGCGCATTATAACATTTAAACTGAATTAGCACCCAGATCGACTTAAGATAATTGACAATAAATAATTGACAAGGGTGTCTGAAAGAATTTGGAGATCAAAATCTGTTATAAATTTGTATATAAACAGCGGATCAAACCCAGTAATTTTATTTGTACTATGGTCGACAATCATTGTACCGTAAATTAGGCTACTATTGTATAGTAGATTAATAATTATTTAATTAATAATTTTATTTATAAGAATAAAGTTTGGTACTTTGTATTCATTTCAATAAATTGTTGTATAAAATTGCTGTATAGTTTAATGCAATTACCCAGAAACTAATATTAACCAATATTCACAGTTTGGATCCATAATTAATTATTGATTAATATATTGTATTTATAAAACTAATTGTAAAAAAGACTATTGAATTTTGTCAAAATAAATTCATTTTATTTAAACTCATTTAATGTATACTACATTAAATAGTCATACATTTCATTGAAACAGTTGGTTGAGAGCACCGACATTATAGACAAAGCCTCCGTCGACCACCAGATTAGCGCCGGTAATAAACTGGGCGTCGCTTGAGATGAGAAAAGCCACGGCTTTGGCTATATCTAAGGGTTGGCCTAATTTCTTAAGTGGTGTGAACTCACGGGTCTTCTCCCAAATCGGTGGCAACGGTTCAAACACTTGCGTAGCGCCGGGACTGACATTTCAAATCATTTATTAGTTTAAAGATTAAAATAATTTCATAAAATACTAATCACTTAATAGCGTTGACTCGTATGCCTTTGGGTCCCAACTCGAGGGCCAGGACTCGGGTTAACATATCTAACCCGGCTTTTGCCGGTCCGTACACCAGGTTTTGGGGCATCTGTTCACACATTTGTTGAAAAAGTTTTTTAATGTTTAAAATATAACTAATATGTGTTTATAACATACCGGCGCTAAGCCCGCGAGGGCTGATATCTGGATGATAGAGCCGTTAGTCTTCAGGAGGTGAGGGACGGCCACATGTGTGAGCTCTACGACAGCCCTGAGGTCAAGGGAGTAGAGCTGATCCCAGGCCTTCATGACATCGGTCTGTAAAATAGTGGTCAGTTGTGACCGAATCCCTGCGTTATTCACCAAAACATCGAGTCTTCCGAAAGTCTTCACCGTCTCTGCGATCACACGATTCAAGTCATCACTTTTGGTCAGATCTGCGACCACTTCGAGGGGCTGACAGGGAAATGGATGTCATGAAAATGAGTCAACATATTATAAATAGTAAAAACATCGCTTATTTTAAAACCAAACTTAATAAGTATTTATATTTTTATATAATAAATAAATTTCTCAAAATAATCTTACGATTCATAATCTAACCTAGGAACATACAAAACACTCATTTCTATTCTACTTTAATATAACTAATAATTATAATTTTTAATTTATACTAACCTTTAGTTTATAGGGCGACAGGTCTTCACACTCTTTGGCAACCGCTTTAACCTTCGCATCCGTAGTACCGGTGACCACCACTTTGGCACCTAATATGGACATCAATTTTACGATACCCTCCCCTATACCGGAACTGGATCCAGTCACCAAGATCACTTTACCCGTGAAATTACGTGAAGAATCTCTAACGGCTTTATAATCTTCAATACTGTAGTCGGCAG